ATGCAATGCAAGAAGAACCCAACTAATTCACCAGAAATGATGTCTGGAAACTTGTTCCCAGACCTACTCATCAACATGTCATTGGGACAAAGTGGGTCTTCCGGAACAAGATTGATGAAAACGGCATTGTTGTCAGAAATAAAGCCCGATTGGTTGCCAAAGGTTATTGTCAAGAAGAAGGTATAGATTTTGATGAAACCTTCGCTCCAATTGCTAGACTTGAAGCTATAAGGTTGTTTCTAGCCTTTGCTGCTCATAAGGACTTCAAAGTCTATCAAATGGATGTCAAAAGTGCATTTCTCAATGGAAACCTAGAGGAGGAAGTTTATGTGGAACAACCTGCAGGAGTTGAGTTACACACCAAAGGCGATCAAGTGTATAGACTCAAAAATGCGCTGTATGGACTCAAACAAGCACCAAGAGCTTGGTATGATACATTGTTGCAATTCTTAATAGACAATGGATTCATCAAAGGAGTCATTGACAAGACCGTGTTCAAACTTCAAGATGGAGAAGATCTCCTATCGGTCCAAATATATGTGGGCGATATCATATTTGGCTCAACTAAGGAAGCACTTTGCACCAAGTTCTCCACCCTCATGCAAGGAAAATTTGAGATGAGCATAATGGGGGAACTCAACTACTTCCTTAATCTTCAAATCAAGCAGAGAAGTGAAGGAACTCTCATCAATCAAGCCAAGTACACAAGGGATCTTATCAAGAAGTTCAAAGTTGATCAGAAGTCATCCGTTTCTGTCCCCATGAGTACATCCACCAAGCTTGACATGGATGTAGATGGAAAGGATGTTGATCAAACTCTCTACAGAGGAATAGTTGGATCTCTACTCTACCTTACTGCAAGCCATCCGAATATCTCATATGCAGTAGGTGTTTGTGCTAGATTTCAATCAAAGCCAAAGGAAAGCCATCTAATAGGAGCCAAAAGGACTCTTAGATACCTCAAAGAAACTCAAAACATGGGTTTATGGTATGCTAAGAGTAGCTCATTTGAGTTAGTGGGATACTCTGATTCTGACTTTGCCGAATGCAAAGTTGACCGGAAGAGTACATCTGGTACTTTTCAATTTATTGGCAGAAATCTTGTTTCTTGGTTCAGTAAGAAACAAAACTCCATCTCTACATCTACAGCAGAAGCAGAGTACATTGCTGCTGGTAGTTGTTGTGCTCAAATATTGTGGCTAAAGCAACAACTACTGGATTATGGAGTCAAAACAAAGGAAGTGAATATATTTTGTGACAATAAAAGTGCTATAGCTATATCACAAAATCCAGTGCATCATTCTCGCACTAAGCACATTGATGTCAAGCATCACTTCATCAGAGATCATGTGGAAAAGAAGGATATCAGAATTTAGTACATCTCAACTGAAGAACAATTGGCAGATATCTTTACAAAACCACTAAGTGAAGCCAGGTTTTCCGAATTGCTTCACAAAATTGGTCTAATTCAATTAGACTAAGTGTGGTACACATGGCAGTTCACTTACCACGTCTGATAAAGTAATGGGTAGACACGTGGCCTCGGGAATAGTTGAAAAACCCAATCGCCACTAGCCGCATAAATCACCCAAAATAAACCCAATCGCCACTATATTCAGATCTCAACTGCCCACTCAATTCAGTACATTCTTCGTCGTCTTCCTCGCAAGAAATCCCAGAAGAACCCTAATTTCTTCAAATTCTTTCTCCCAAAATTCAACAAAAATGAAGGTTGGAGGCGTAAATGTTCACTTCTAGAAATTGGAAGCAAAATGCTCCTCACCGGCTTTCTACAAGACTTATCTCGAGATGATTGTAGCTCAACAACTCTCTGAATTTCTTCATCTTGAAACTCCTTTCAAGTATGAAGAAGAAGTTCTTGAATTCTACAGGAATGGAAGAGTCTCTACCATTCAATCCAAGAAGAATCCACAAAGGTCGATTCAAGTCAATGAATCAACTGTTGGAGGCTGATAAGTCCGTTTCGTTCTTATCATTTATATCATATTCTAAACGTTATTGCACGTAAATAGTATTTAATCATCTCATAAAATGTGTTTTTAATCAATAAAACTCTCATTTTCGCTGTAAGAGTCATAAAAAGGGATTCCACATGAAATCATCATTAATCATCCATTTTATGTTCAAATACTTGAGAAAAAGGGAATAAATCATCAAAGGATCAGGATTCGGGCTTGAACGAGCTTCTGGGAGGTCAAAAACAGTGTTCGGACCAAAACGAAGCGAAATTAGGCCGAAATCACGAACCAGCCGCGAAGCCCAACAAAGGAAGGGCCTAAGGCGTCCAACTTGGACGCTTGGCCAAGTTGGACGCTTGGGAGTTGGACGCTTTGGCTGGATTGCAGCCCAAGAATGACATGTGGCAAAACTTGGTTGGCCGGGACAGCTCAGGCGTCTAGATATGGACGCTTAGACTTGGACGCCTTGGCTTCGTTCCTATAAATAGAGCCCGATCCCTCTCATTTTAATCATCCCATTCCATCCCAACTTCGGGATTTACACATCCCCTCTCCATTTTAGCTTGTATATTAGTTGTAGTGGTTAATTTTGAAGTATTTTTGGAGGTTTCAACTCCAGATCATTTCTGTTCCGTTTTTACGGAGGTTGTAACTTCTCTTTATTTAATAAAATGTTGTTTTAATTTATGTTTACATAGTATGAGTTAGGGTCCGGATCTCTAGGTCCGGACTAGTTTGGTTATATTTTGAATATTAAATTAATTTTGGAATGGTTAGTCAATTGTTCTTGCCTTATTTAGTTAATTAATCTTGAAAGATTTAATTAGCTATTTCTTGAGAAAATATTGTATGCCGAAGGCTATAATATCCAAGTGCAATGGACTAAGTACACATCTAGAAATAGATAAGTAATAATAGAAATATTATTATTCTAATTGTTAATTTAATATGGTAAAATTGATCCAAGTGATGTCCAGACCCTAGATCCAGATCTGCACTTATACTATGTGAATTTATTTATTATTTTTACTCCGCTCTTTTTATAATCGTTCCGAGAAGACTTTCATAAACCAATCCTAATCTTCGCCTAATTAGAGTATTTAAACTAATTCCCTTCATCCACTCCTCGAGAGATACGACACTTGGAGAGAAAACTTACGCTTTACTGGGAAGGTTTACCACCCCAAAAACTATTACGATTGTCAGAGGCACCGCAGTGAAGATCTCTGAGATGAAGATGAAGAAGAAGCTCCATCTTCCCAACTCTGGAATTGATATTAGGAAGCTCTCGTCCAAGAATCTGGACTAGAACGATCAACACAATTGGGATTTTTGGACAAATCCCCTCTGGCCTAACAAAGAAGGCTGATTTGAAGAACGACAACAAATTAGTCTTGGAGCTGGTCATTGCATGTTTGAAATGTGGAAGTGGCTTTCATCATCAACGCCCTCATTACCAAAACTAAGGTAAATTGGGCTAAACATTTCTTCAACTCTGTTTCTAAGCACATCGGAAAGTCCAAGCAGAAGTTTCTATGTCAAGGATTGTACCTTAAACACATTCTGAAATCCATGGGAATTGCCTCTGAAGGCAAGAAATATGATGCCAGATATTGGTTGTACTACCTATCAACCAAGGGTGAAAATAGAGCAAGTTGTGCTGCAAAAGATGAAGGATCTTCAGACAATGTTCTAATTTTAAGTCCAAAGAAGTCCTCAAAAAGGAAGCAAGTGGTATGTCCCTGCCTCAGTGCTGAGGAACCACACACCCTAGCAGTAGTAAATCTCGATGAAGAAGAAGAAGTTTCTGCTCAAGGAGAACTTCAGAAGAAGAAGAGGAGAATCTCCTCTCCCTCCACATCTGGAAATGCTAATCCGGATAACTCAGAGCAGAACCAACCACAAAATAGTCTGCAAGATCTTAATGAGGTAACCCATCAGGATCAGAGTCTTCCATCTCCTTCATCACAAGCCATTACTGATGAAGTGAACAAATTTATGCAACTCTACTATGTTTGGAGAGCTTGGTTGGTTGGAAACTCTGTAGATCAGTTGCTTGAATGGGATCAACAACTAAAAAATGAAAAGATTATCAAGAGGTGTTTGGGACTGCTAATCAACTGCTTTTGTGAGCAAATTTTGGATGAGGAATGGGTCTGGCAGAAAACCAATGAAGGTCTGCTGCTGGAACACTTGACCACCTCTCCACCCTTAGAATTTGAGGTTGATGATGACTACACAGTAGTCTACACACCTATGTTCATAAATTCAGCTGGCAATCAGACTGTAGACCAGGCTGAGAACATCACTGTTGAAGCACATGCAGACTTGGAAGTTGAAGCAGAGGATTTCCAAGTTTTTCCGGAATCCTCACCTGCCATTGAAACTGGTCTTGCTGAAACCATTCTGGAGAATGAAGCCACTCCCCAGCAGGAAGAACAGAATCAAACAGCATCTGAAGAAGAGCTTATGCAATCCTTCTAATTTCAGGTTCAAGAGATCTTCATAACCCCTTGTGAGATCTCCAATCAACCTGAACCTGAAAAATCTCCAATCAACCTGAACCTGAAATTCTGGAAAAATCAGCAGAAAATCTGGAGAAGTCCACTCCTCCAGAAGCTACAGAGGAAGAAGCTCAGGAGGAACCAGCAGTGGAAGCCTAGAGAAGCTTTGAGGAAGCAACAGAAGGTGCTGAAATAGCTAGACTCGAGGCCACTGAAACTCCAGTTGCTATTTTTGAGCAACAAACTGAAGATGTAGTAAGAGATTCAATTTTCTAGGGATATCTCAAACTACGTGAATGCAAAAACAGAGGAAGAGTCAGTGAAGACTTTGAAGATTGATGAAAAAGATGCTGAGCAAGGAGAAGACGCTGAATCCCTCCCTCTACAACTCTATCACAGAGTACCTTCTTCAACTCAGGTATAGTAACAAATGTTCACTTTCACAGCTCTTCCACATAAACCTTTCCGGATGAGATGCTGGAAACCTGGACTAAGAAGGTCCAAGGGTCAGCCCTGGAGTCTTAGAAAGCCTCATTTAGGCAAGAGATAGAGAAGGTAGAAATGAGGCACAATCAGATTCTGGACCTTGTTGATCTTTTCACTGGCACGCTCGTTTATCTTCTCTATTTTTTCTCGACCTTGTTGTGAATAGCTTGTACCTCATGTGCTCGTTTCTCCGCTTCCCAACTATACTTTGTATCTGTTAAGATTGGATTAAGATCAAGTGGGGTAAGGGGATTAATACCATAAACAATAACAAATGGTGACACGCCCGTTGTTTTGCTTGGGGTGCGGTTGTAAGCAAATTCGGCATGAGGAAGTAATTCCTCCCACTGCTTGACGTTCTTCTTAATGAGGGCATGAAGGACGGTGCTAAATGTTCGGTTTGTTACTTCCATCTAGCCATCGGTTTGCGGGTGGCTTGATGTACTAAACTTGAGTTTAGTACCCATCTTTCTCCACAAAGTCATCCAAAAATGACTTAAGAATTTGCTGTCTCGATCGGAAACCATACTTCGGGGAATGCCATGAAGTTTGACAATATCCCTAAAGTACAAAACTGCAATTTGTGAAGCATCATGAGTAGTTAGGAACGAAACGAAGTGTGCCATCTCTGAAAATTGATCAACCACCACCATGATTGAATCCTTTCCTCGCTGCGTTCGTGGCAAACCGATGATGAAATCTAGACTCACGTCTTTCCAATGAGCTTGTGGGACGGGTAGCGGCATATGCATTCCTTGTGCGGCTTTGGAGTGGCTTTTGGCGAGTTGACAAGTAGTACAAAGTTCTTAAGCAAGAAAGGCAGATTGGTTATAGGCCCTAGTCAGGAGCTGAAGAATCAGATACTAAAATGGGTGCATAGCTCACCTACTAGAGGTCACTCAGGAAGAGATGCCACACTCAAGAAGCTTAAAAGTTTGTTTATATGGAAGGGCATGACTAGGGAAGGCCAACATCATATTAGGCAATGCATCACTTGACAAAGTTGCAAAAGTTACAATAGCCTTTACCCAAGGATACTACAACCTCTTCAAATGCCTGATGAAATATGGAGGGATATCTCTATGGATTTCATAGAAGGCCTCCCAAGATATGGAAAAAAGGAAGTCATACTAGTGGTGGTGGACAGATTCAAAAAATATGCTCATTTCATGACACTGAGACATCCATTTTTAGCTGCAGAGGTGGCTCGAGCCTACTTAGACAATGTGTTTAAGTTACATGGTTGGCCCCAAACCATTGTGTGTGACAGGGATAAGGTATTCTTAAGCGAGTTTTGGAAGGCTCTTCTAACAGTTCAAGGAACAGAGTTTCTTATGTCAACCTCTTACCATCTTTGAACTGACAGAGAGAAGTTGTGAATAGATGTTTGGAAGCATATCTCAGGTGTATCTGCAGTGAAGAACCAAGAGAGTGGAGAACGTGGATTCCCTTAGCATAATGGTTCTACAATACATCATATCATTCTGCTACTCAAATGACTCTATATGAAGTGGTATACAATCAGCCGCCTCCTATTCATTTGCCCTATTTACCAGGGGAGACCAGAGTTGAAGCTGTTGATAGGTCACTGCAGAAAAGGGATGCCATGATCCAAATGCTGAAGTTTCAACTCTTAAAATTTCAACACAAGATGAAGGTTCAAGCAGATAAGCATAGGGCTGAAAGGCGGTTAGAGAGGTGGGAGATTGGGTCTAGTTAAAATTACAACCTTATAGACAACAAACGGTGCAAGGTCAAATAAATCCTAAATTCTATGGCCCATTTCAAATCATTTCCAAGGTTGGAGGAGTGGCTTACAAGTTGCAGTTACCTCACTCAGCCCAAATTCATCATACCTTCCATGTCTCCCAGTTGAAGGCATTTAAAGGTGAATTACATGCTTAGGCACATATCCCTAGATGGTTGCAAGGAAAGAATGTGGAGGCACCTACCAAACCTATTGCTATTCTAGAAAGGAGGCGATGGTGAAACAAGGGAATCAAGCTGTTGTGCAATACCTGGTTCAATAAGAGGGGTAGAGTGAAGAAGATGCTTCATGGAGAAATTCCAAGGAGATGGAAAAAGGTTCCCTCACTTTTTCCAGAAGCAGCAGCTGTGAGACTGAGAGAAAGATAAAAAAAATCAGATCTGGAGAATGAGAGAAAAATCATATCTGGAGTATATAAACAGAGTATTTTATTGTTATGGAACTGCTGTCCAGAACTATGTATCCATACATATAAATAGAGGACTAAACAACACAACCATTACAAATAGACACAACAGTGTCTAACCAACACATCTATTGAAACCTATCATAAAAAACTGTAACTAGTAACTGCCTACCTTTTTTAAAATTTAAACTAAATCCAGGGCTGGAATTAACCAACATTCACCCCCTTGATTCCAGTCCTCATTCTTGCCAAATCTTCAATCCCCATCAGTTGCCTCATCTCGATAAACTTGACCCATGCTTTTGTCAAGATATCAACTTTCTGCTCGTCACCACTTACATGCTCAACCCTTACTAGCTCTTTCTCGACACATTCACGAATGAAATGATATCGAGTGTCAATATGCTTACTTCTCCCATGGAACACTGGATTCTTCATTAACATGATTGCAGCCTTGTTATCCAGGTGAATTGTTATGGGTTCCATGCTTTGGCCAGTGATTTCTTCAAGCAAACCTTTTAACCAGACAGCTTGACATGCAGTTGCCGTTGCCGCCATGAACTCAGCCTCACATGAAGATAGTGCAACCGTGTTCTGTTTTTGGCTGCACCATGCTATCGGACCACTCCCATAATAGAAAATCAGCCCAGTTGTACTCTTTCCATCTGCCCGATCAGTGGCATGTGAGCTGTCACTATAACCAACCAAATCTGCATCGCCGTTCCTCCTGTACCGAATCCCGTGATTAATTGTACCCTTCAATTATCGCAGCACCCGTTTTACAGCTTCCATATGTGATGTTTTTGGTGACTCCATGAATTGACTGGTTATTCCAATTGCATAACTCATATCGGGCCTTGTATGGGTTAGATAACGAAGACACCCAATAATCCTTTGGTACTCAGTTGCATCAACAGACTCGAGCTCCTCATCTTTTCCAAGCTTGAGACTTGGATCCATTGGAAATTTTGCAGGATTACACTCTCACAAATTTGCATTTTTTAGAACCTTTGTTGCGTATCCTGTTTGCTTCAAAGTAATGCTAGTTTTGTCTTGATTCACCTCTATTCCCAAATAGTATGTTAGAAGCCCCAAATCACTCATTTCAAAACAGTTTTTCATCTGTCTTTTGAACCCAACAATCTCATCCTTGCATGGACCTGTAATGATTAGATCATCAACGTATACACCAACTATTAATGGTCCATTCTTTGTGGTTCGCTTGTATACTGCATGTTCACGTGGACAACGCTCGAAACCAAGTTGTTGTAGAGTTGCATTTAGCTTTGAATTCCAAGCTCTTGGGGCTTTCTTCAGGCCATATAAAGCTTTTATCAGTTTGTACACAAGATGTTCTTTTCCCGGCTTTTCGAACCCCTCGGGTTGTGATACATATACATCCTTCTTTAAGTCTCCATGAAGGAAAGCTGTCTTCACATCAAGATGGTGAACTTCCCAACCATCTCGTGCAACTAGGGATAGAAGCAAACGAACTGTTTCCATTCGAGCAACTGGAGCAAACACCTCATCGTAGTCAATACCATGTTTTTGGACATACCCCTTCGCAACGAGTCTCGCTTTGTAGCGAATTATATGATCTTTGGCATCCCTTTTGGCTTTATAAACCCACTTCAGACCAATCGGTTTAACTCCTTTCGGGAGCTCAACCAATTTCCAGGTTCCATTCCTTTCTATAGAGTCCAATTCGTCTTGCATTGGAGCATTCCATTCTTTGCTATCTTTGGCTTCATTAAAGGTACTTGGTTCTTCATTGGATAGTAATAGTTCTGCGTCATCAAAGTGAGGTGGATTGAAAGCCTTCTCTTGTATCGATTGAGTTCTTGAATACACATCATTTAGGTGGCGAAATCCTTAAGGGGGTGTATCATCGTAATGTGAACTTGAAATAGGACTTGCACCTGATGTACTAAGATTTTCAAACCCATGTGGGCTGTTTGGAACATTTAGTGGGCTGATAAGAGTGCTTGGAACCGAGGCACGTGACTTTGGGCTAGACAACAAACAATTCTCCGGTGTGCTAACAGATTCACACCCATTCTGTACGTTTGGAGCAGACAGGTCTTCAGTGTGATTGGGTAAGGTATTGAGTGGGCTGCCACCATTTTGAGTCAGTCCTTGACCAGTCACCCAAGCTTCATTTTCAACAACAAATTCAACCTGACTTTCATTTCCCTCCGTCTCCAAATCTTTAGCCGAGTCCCACGCTCTGTTTTCTTCAAATTGGACATCCCTGCTAACACATAACCTTTTTGTCTTTGGGTTGTAAAGTCGATATGCTTTGCTTCCTGGTTCACTCCCAAGATGTACCATTGCCTCGCTTCTGTCTGACGGCTTTGTTAATTTGGGTGTTGGTACTTTGACATGCGCCATACATCCAAACACCTTTAGGTGTTCCAAATTGGGCTTCCGTCCTTTCAGGGCTTCATACGGGGTCTTCTTTTCTAAAGCTTTTGTCGGAGTTCTGTTCAAGATGTAGACAGCATGTCGTACACCTTCTCCCCACAACCATTGCGGTATATTCATGGCCTTCAACATAGATCTTGTGGTTCCAAGAACAGTTTGGTTTCAGCGTTCAACCACACCATTCTGTTGTGGCGTATATGGTGCGGTTAAATACCTATTTATACCTTCTTCATTGCAAAGTTGTTCAAAGTTGGTAGAGACAAACTCACCTCCACGATCAGTTCTCAATGCTTTCACCTTGTAACCACTTTCCAATTCAATTGACTTCTTGAACTTGTTGAATGCCTCACATGCTTGGCTTTTGAACTTGATAACATATACCCACATAAATCTGCTGAAATCAACAACTAGCAATAAAAAGTACCTGTTCCCAAATGGTGTACTCGGTGTAATAGGACCGCATAGATCAGCATGTATCAGTTCAAGGGGCTGCTGTGCTCGATAAAGTAATCAATTTCCCACAGCAATAACATAACATAAGTTTTAGCAGTCAACAAACTGTGCAAGTCCAAGTTTTGTAACTTGCAAGCCCATTCCTCTTATATCCTTTACATCTGCATAGAAACAAACAAAACAACTAAATTGAAAGAAAGGAGAATTAGATTGATACATATAATTAAGATAGAGCCCTTAAAAAATATACCCTAGTAATGAAAATGAAGGGACTAGAACTACTCGAGCTAGACAACCACTACTTGCATGCAATGACTAGAAGAGCTAGGGTTATGTGCATCTTTTATAAAATATTACTACCTCCTTCCGCTATTTTTGGGACAAGGGAAAGTGGCACACAAATTTGGAAGAGGGAATTGTGAGGTTTATATTGAATATAAAAAGGAAAAAAAATACAAGAACCAATGTGAGGATTCTGAGCCACATTAATGTTACTAATTTTGGTGAGCGAAAAAATTAGTCGGAGACAGACAAGAAGGTAAACAGCAACAAAAAGTGATGCGGATGGAGTAATAATCACATCTGGTTACCTATTTGAAAATGTCCAAAGAGCTGAGAAGCTATCCTATAAAGCACATCGACATCATCTGTAGCCATTGCCACCTTGTTTGAAAAATTCAGTAAAAAATAAAATGAAATTTTAGTAGGCATAGAACCCAACATACATTTTGTTCAGTATAGCAACAAAAAGAATCAAACCGCTGTAGAGTGACTCAAGTTAACACAGATTCCGCAACCCAAATATTTTGCAGGCTCCCAGCATCAATCTTCCTCTTCTTTATCTGGACAATAAATTACACCAGAGGAATAAGAAGCCCGTTAAATTATTTAATAGAAAACAAGAGTGAAGCTGAGCAATGTTAGAGGTGTGTCATGTGTGTATGCATCAGATTGGAACATCAGATTCAAGATAGTTCCCAACCCTAAAGGCCTAAAGAGATGGTAGAAATGAAGACAACCGATGAACCTTAATGGTAAAAGTGCGGCCCTTAACGCCACATCCCTCCAAACGCAATGAAACCTCATCACAGAGCTTCTTTAAGAAATGTTGAGCCTGCAGTATAAAGCATCATATACTGTGAGGAACTCAAAATTTCAGATAAAGGAAAGTAGGAAGCAATTGTAAGTATTGATTAAAAAGCACTAACATCTTTCAGATCCTTGAACCTCACACCCCAGTTGACATCAGCACCTATTGACTTGTTTTCCTGCAAAGATGTAGCAAACATAAAGGCTGCTAATGTTTATAGAAGATTTCAAAGAATTAAAAAAGGTGACGTAGACACAACAAGGACATGCAATGTACGTGTGGCTTTCTTTTGGCATGAAAGTAGCAAAAAACTAAACAAGTTTGCATAGTCAGGGTTCAGTAACTACTTTGAGTAAATCCATAAAGATAACCAGCTCAATCTATAATTTGTCCTGCTAGTAGCCAGTGGAGATATATGGTACAAACTAGCAAGAAAAAACAAAAAAAAAAAAGGCTTCTTTCCTCACAGTGAAATTGAGAAAGAACAGAAGGTAAAGCGAAGAAAAAGAAATTGATACAGTGATACTCCCTTCGTCCCAAAATGATTTTATCACTTCTCTTTTTTGGATGTCCCAAAATGATCTTATTACACTTTATACTTTGTTTTATAAAAGGACGCTTTTACCCTTAATA